AAAAGTGTATGTATGTATGTATACAGGGTGTCTCACAACTGGTAGAACACCGTTAGGAGTAGGTAGAGGGTGCAATTTGGAACTGAAAGTTTCTCTTCCATTTTTGGATCCGACAATTAGTTAATGAGATATTTATCAATTAAGTTTGCCAATCCCTTAGCGCCCTGAGTGAGCGCTCAGGGACGCTATGGATTCTTCAGGGGCCCTGCTTGTCTGTTTTTCTCCCCTTTTTGTACACACACATTAAAATCATTCACGATACTCAACCACCGACATGCAGAAAACATTTAAGTCACCCGTGCACTCGAAGGAAGCATACCACACATGCCCTCCCCCTGCGGCACATAAAGTGCAATCATTCCGCCCACTTGCACTAAAAATATTCAAATTATCCATGCACTCATAACCGCACATAAAAACATCCATACATTATCCCCTCACATTGAAAACTTGCCATCCTCCTAGCCCCGATCAGGCATTCATCCACACATTCACTCACTCACTCACTCATCCATATTTATTTCTCTGTGATACAAAAAAAGAAGAGAAAAAGCAAGACCCCTAACAATACAGAAAAGCAGAGCCCCTAAGGAGTCCACGGCGTCCTACAGTCCTGAGCGCTCACTCGGGGCGCTAAGGAATTGGCAGACTTAATTAATTAATATCTCATTAACTAATTGTCGGATCTAAAAATGGAAGAGGAACTTTCAGTTCCAAATTTCACCCCCTAACTACCCCTAAAGGGTGTTCTACCAGTTACATATACAGGACACCCTGTATATGTATGTATATACAGGGTGGCGCTAAACGTTCCAGCTAGGCTTAGAGATCTTGTAGGAAATGTAATTCTGAACAAAAAATTTTCTATAAACATGAGTCGAAAAATGCTTCTTTAAGAAGTTACCGCCTAAAAGCACGTTTCCTCTAAAATTACGTTTTTAAAAAACATTTTTTCAAATATCTAGGAAAGTATGCTTTTTTTTTAAAAAAAGTATGGAAACCAAAGTTGTAGAGTATTAAATTTTCTTTGAAATGAGGCAAAAATATTTTTATTACGTTCCATAGGTCTTAAAATAACTTCTTAAGGAAGCATTTTTCGATCCATGTTTATAGAAAATTTTTTGTTCAGAATTACATTTCCTACAAGATCCTTCCAAGGAATTACATTTCCTTACATTATTTCCTACAAGATCTCTAAGCATGGTTGGAACGTTTGGTGCCTATATATAGTATCATATATATAATAATGTACTGTGTATTATGTACATGAGTCCTTGATTTGTCAATGCAATGTATTGAAAGTCAGGAAATATATTTTGAGTATTTATTATAAAACTAAATTGTAAATAAATTACACATTCTCTTGTTTTAATTTCTCTAAGGTCACTTCAGACATGTAATATAATAGCAACATGATAACAGCAAATTTTAAAACTTTTATAACTACATAAGTATTGAGAAAGGAATTTATGTTCATATATTATAACATTTGTTACTTAAAATGACTTCCCAAACAATCTGTCAAAGTTATTCACTTATTCTGAATCATCTTATTGAACTTATGAAATCTTTGATTTATATAACTTTCTCTTGTTTATTTGCCATTGAAAAACATCCAGAAATGGACCAAAACTTTTGAATTGCACAAATATATAATGTACTATCTTAATTACATTGGATATTGAGAGTTATTATAATTTATTGCATTAAGTAATCTATGTATACAGGCTCTCATTGACCCTTTGCTTTCCTTTCTTGATCATACATCAGTAAAGCTTTTTATTTTGAATTTTTATTTTTTATTTTCAAGTTACAGGTGTAAAAGTTAGAATAATTTTGATTTTTTCAATTGTTCTTGTTAATAAATATCTAATTTCAGGAAATATTACAATTTGTTATCAATATTTCTTATAAGTTTAAAATGATTACAAGTTCGTATTATATATTGTATGATTAAATAATGAAGGATATATCATATATTAAATTCTGTTGTAAGATATATTTTACATGTAAAAGTAAATTTATATAGGAAACTCAATCAAATAAAAAAAAAAGAAAGATATTTAGATTAAAATCAATAAAGATAAAAAAAGAACAATATGAGACAATTTTGCAGTTATATGCTAATCGTTTATATAAGGAATAAAGAGTTACTTATACGTTGAGAAAATATATTTTTAAAATTTGAAAATTTATTTTTAGAATATAAAATTTATTTCTGTAAAATAATCCGTCATTATTTATATAATTTAGTCATAATATGTGATATAAACCTATAATCGTTTTAAACCTATAAGGGATATTGATAACAAATTTCCAGAAATTAGGCATTTATTGGAAGATAGTTAGAGAAAATTAATAAAAAAATCAAGATTATTTTAATAATTTTCACATCTCTGTATATAGTAGTATGTAGTAACTGAATATATTGACTGAGATATGTGGATTTTCAGTATTAGTATAGATTTTCAGTATTAGTAGATTTACTAGTGTATATCGGGATACAGTCCCACAGTTACAAATATTTTATATGATTTTCGTTCAGTTACAAATATTTCACATAATTTCCGTCCACAATTTTATATTAAATTAATTTTCTATTCTTTTGTTATAGAGTAATCCATAAATTTATGAAGTATGGTACACTTCATGATCGTAGACGTGAACAAACGGGGCCTTCCTTCACAGTAGTAACTGAAGACAAAATTAACGAGGTTACGCAGTATTTTCAAAAAAATCCAAATGTCAGCGTTCAAAAAGCTGCTGAAATACTTGGTATATCTAGGCCATCATTGTACAGGATTCTAAAAAAATTTCTAAGATTGCATTTATATAATATAACATGTCATCAGTTGTTAACGGAGAGCGCTAGAACGCAGCGTATAGAATTCTGCGAAATGATGACGGAGCTGTTCGATACTAAGGAGCTCGACGAGAAACAAATTATATTTTGTGATGAGGCACACTTTTGGCTAGATGGATATGTTAATAAACAATACTGTCGGTTTTGGGGAATAGAACAACCCAACGTTGCCTTAGCGAAACCTCTCCATTCTCAGAAAGTGACTGTATGGGTAGCCATTTCGGGCAAAGGAATTTATGTGGAGTTCTTTGAGTCAACAGTCACTGCAGAGAACTACCTGCAGTTGTTGGAGACGAAGTTCTTCCCTCATGCAAAGGAAAATGATTGGGTCAGACAATTCTATTTTATGCAAGACGGAACGGCGCCACACCGTACCAGCGAAGTTTCTGAGGCTATTTTTAAAATCTATCAGAATCGAGTAATTGGGCTGAGGTATCCCAAATTTGCTCGGGGCGGTATAGAGTGGCCACCATACTCTCCAGATTTGAATCCGTGTGATTTTTTTCTATGGGGATATCTCAAAGACAACTGCTACTCCTCACGTCCTAATACGATTGAAGAATTAATCAGATCTATAAGAAAAGAGGTGAATAGCATCTCAAAAGAGATACTACATAAAGTTTTTTATAATTTCCGAAAGCGACTCGATTTGTGTTTTAATTCAGATGGTGAGCACTTTGAAAATATATACCATTAAGTTTGATGATAGGATTTCGACAATATTTTTTCCGATCTGGCACTATTCGGATACTCGATTATAAATAGTAAATAAATGTTGCGCTATAAATTTTCGAATTATCAAGAGGAGGAGGATTTGGAATTCCTAAAATATCCAATCAGTTAAAACAACACGAAGAGCACGATTGACGAATAGTATACTGAAAGTAAGTAAGATCCAGCACATTAAAAATATGCTGAGAGAAATAGCTTAGGAAATATGTTGAAAAGGTATGAATCATATAGTGTCGTTCAGCAGAAAATCCTAGTTGCAAGTTGAAGTATAATACAAGCTGCTTTTTCTGCTGAACTAATCAATCAATATATTATACCTGCAATTTAACGGCTTCACCCGATAGTGCCTATTAATGTATTTAAGTAATCATTATTTTGTATAATTTTATTATTAAATTTATTAATATTTTATTGTCATTAAATTCAGTATATTTTTATTAACTTCCTTTTTTATTTTTTTTATTCGAATCTAAGTTCTGGATTTCAATTTCAGATTGTAATTCCGGATCCGAATTTTCTTATAGTCCGAGTTTAGATCTGATAGTTTTAAAATCGAAATCAATCTCGAAAATTCTGACAGTAGATATCCGAATATTAGCGAACCTTAAATGACATTTTTTAAATAAATATTAAATGATAAAAATATCCGATTGTTTTTAATCCATGTGCAAATAAAACTGTTAAGTGTCCTCTGTTCAAAGATATTTTTAGTTAGTTAGCTTGCTTAGTTTGCTTGCTTGCTTTCTATATCTAGATAGCACAGAGAATTCAAAAAGAATTAAAAGAGAATTCAGTCATATGTCATCAATTCTAAGTTTATTTTCAGATGTAAAAAGAATTCTTCAGAGTTCAGTTCAGTGAATAGAATTCTTTTTGTATCTAAAAATGAACTCAGAATTGGTGACATACGACTGAATTCTTTTAGAATTCTCGGTGCTATCTGGGTATATGTATATCTGTATTTAAAAATAACAGTTAATTAGTTTCAGCAACTTATCCACGAGGCAACCTGTCTGTTAGTTTAAAATTAAGTCAATTTATTTTGACTTTAAGACTTCTTGTCTTACGAGGTTACGGAAACCTGTATTGATAATATCAGAATTGAGAAAACCTATTCTTGCATGTCATTTTTAAATAAAAAAATATTTATGTGAAAGAATACTTCAAATTGCTTGAACATACTTGTAAGATACTCCGACAACTATCCTTTTCCCTTGTCAGTTAATAAATAGCCTTAAAGTTAACCTGGTAAAATCAAAAAAGGTAAGTTAAAAAGAAGATTTCATATGTCATATTAAATGACATGCCCACAATGTTCCTTTTTTACAAGTATGGTCAAGAGATCTGAAGAGTTCTTTCATATAAATATCTTTATTTGCAAATGGCACGTAAGAATTTTAGGCAGTAAACAAAAAAACATTACAGCAATGTTATTATTACGTTATTCAGCAACATGTAACGTTTACAAATATGTTGTTTTTAATGTTATTATTACGTATAGAATATCATTATGAACAATCTTTGTCCTTAATCTGGAAATTTTAGTAATCTTAAAATTATATATGGTCATAATGTTGTAAGCAACATTACATTTACATTTTTTAACATGCGTTTTCTCGCTTCTGACGTCATCAGTTCAAAGTTCCGTGGCGAGTATCCAAGACATGCGTTAAGACATTCATCTCTGAAGAGGTTAAAGTTTAATCTATAAAGTATTCTTTACTTTCTGTTTCTTTCTCCTTATCTCTTTCTTATTCAAACCTTTAGTCTTAAAAAGACAGAAAACAAGAGGGAGCAAAGAGCACATTAGATTAAACTTCATAATGATCATAATGTCATAATAGTTGATAGTAAGTTTCGAAAACAATTACCTGTAATCGCACGACCACGGGTATCTTTAAGTCTAATTGCTTGGAAGCGTTGATGATCCCTTGGGCGATTATGTCACATCTCATTATGCCACCGAAAATGTTGACTAGAATAGCTTCCACCTAGGAAACAATTTGCAAGGATTAGTCAATCGTATCTGACATTCAATTCGAACAGTTGGTAATTTTGGTAACATGATTTATGTATGTCGATTATTATAAATTAATAATAGTTACATTTTCACCCGAAGACAGTATCTTGAAACCTTCCGTCACAGTCTCGACTGTAGCGGTTCCTCCAACGTCCAAAAAATTCGCTGGCATACCGCCGTAAAATTTTATGATGTCCATGGTGGCCATAGCAAGGCCAGCTCCGTTTACCAAGCAACCGATATTTCCGTCCAAGGTAATGTAATTCAAGTTATGCTTCTCCGCCTCGACTTCATTCGGGTCCATCTGAGTCATGTCTTTGAATGCAAATAATTCCTTCTGTCGGAAATTGGCACTGTCGTCGAAGTTGCATTTGCAATCTAGCGCGTAATCTATGATAAAATATACAATTATTACATGCATAAAATAATTATGTATTAAAATAGTTATTATATATATATATATATATATATATATATACACATACAGGGTGGTCTATTTTAATCCATCCAGCCGAATATTTCGAAAACTAAGATTGGCAGACAAAAGTTATATGGTTCGATGGAGGACATAAGAAGGTACTATTGGTTTGACCTTGCGTGGCGCCGCCAACGTCAGGTTCAGGTCAAGTCAACTTTGTTTTTTTAAATAGAAATATATTTTTTATTACGGAATTTTATTCTACGTAAAGAAACAAACAACTTTCGTTTGAAAACATTTTTTACACGACCTCTATTTTTTAAGATATTTATGGAAATATTTACAAAATTATTGGTTTCAATAATTTTTTATTCAAATTTTATCAACTTTACAGAAAAATAGCAAGAAATTATTTGTTTTTGAAAAATTGTTTGTTTTTTTTCGTAAAGCTCTGAGAATTTTTTCAGAATTTTTAATTAACTTTTTAGTACTTCAAAATATAAAAAATGCAGTACTAAAAAGTTAATTAAGAAATTCTGAAAAAATGTGAAAAATATGAGAAGAAAATAGAAAATTTTTGTCAAACCAATGATACCTTCTTATGTCCTCCATCGAACCATATAACTTTTGTCTGAAACATTTTTGTCTGCCGGTCTTAGTTTTCGAAATATTCGATTGGATGGATTAAAATGGACCATCCTGTATATATGTGTGTGTGTGTGTGTGTGTGTGTTTAATATGTGTGTGTATTTTAATATATATATTTACATATATATAATTTTAATAATGTCAATATATATATATATATATATATATATATATATATATATATATATATATATATAAAATTTTAATATATAATTTTCATATATTAAAAATATAATGCTTAATAATGTTATAACATATTAATAAAATTATTTTATAAATACAATTATTGTCGCATTTCTTTTATATATAAATTATATTAATATGCTTAGTATACAGACAATTTTAAAACGCAATAAAGAAATTATATTTAAATAAGAAAATCAATGTTCGCTACTCGTTTTTTGCATGCCCTCTTATTCACTGCTTACATTCGCCGCAAATGTCTTCCGCGAGTGGATTGATTTCGAGGAGCAACGCGTCCTTTTCGACAAACAGCTCGTAAAGATTACAGGCGATAATCGACGCGATCTCCTTGTTCTGTTCTGTCAGTCCCAGCTTATCGCCGACGCTATCCGCTTGCTCGGCCGTTAAACCTTTCTTCACGTCAATCGGTATGTATGATATGGCTTCAGGATTCGTAGCAGCGACGTCCTCGATGTTTACACCGCCTTGCTTAGAAAGGATCAACACGGGTCCCTTTAAAATATAAATAACAATTGATTTGACGTAATTTGTGATGGGATTAATATGATACATATTTGTGATTTATATGTGTGTGTAACTCTACGACTCAAAAATCATAATAATAGAATAATCTTAAAATATATATTTATTATTAATAAATTATAAATGTAATATAAATGTTATAAGTGCATATTCAGTAAACAAGAAATCATTACAGCAATGTTATTATAATATTATTCAGTAACATGTAACGTTTACTAATATACTGCTTTTAACATTGTATAAAACATCGTTATGAGCAAACTTTGTCTCTAATCTGGAAATTTCGATAATTATATATAGTCATAATGTAAGCAATATTGCATTTAATTTTTTTTACTTTCTCGTGTAAGAAATTTATAATTCTCCCCATTGCAATGATTCAAACAAAGTAATGATTATTTTGATTATAAAATAAAAAAATCATTGATCAATCAATCAATCACTATGATTCGTATCTACCAACTAATTAAAGATTTGCTAAACCTTGCTTATTTTCCAGTAATAAAAAAACAATTTAGTACTATATGAAAATGTTCTTTAAAGTGATGTTTTCACAAATTTTGGTACTACATTGTCTACGTAATTTTTAATGAAAACAATTTATCTTTTTTTACTTTTAATCGGAAAAATATTGTGTAAATACTACCGTAAATAAGAATTCATATATTTCTCTCGTTCAAATTTTTTTTCCACGAAATAAATGTTGTCACGGCCTGTATGCTAAACCAGAACTAAAAGAGAGAACTAGTGTCAGCTAATGCGGGGGCAGTACAGCAAAAAAGAATAGATCGATAGAAAAGAATAGACTCTTTCCTGTTTAAAATCTTTTGGAGCTAACTCTGACTTCTCTGTCTCTTCTACTTTGGGTTTTATAAAGTTGAATAGAGTTTTGGAACGCAGATATTGACACCTTTGGCTCGAGATACTTCGAAATTTCATCGATTAAATGCATCTCAGTATTACGTCAAAGATAAATAACGCAAGCGGCGATACGTACGTCGAAAGTGCGTTCCAACATCACCGCAATATAATATTCCTTGCGCGGGAACATGCGTGTCGTCACCATCACGGAGTTACATATCTTTCCGGCTGCACCCGTTTGCTTCGTCACCAGTACTTTACCGATCATGTTACTCGCCAACTTCTTCGCCTGCTCGGGTCTACGATAAAAAAAGAGATATTATCATTCGACCTTTTAACTCTTTTCCTGCCGTTCCGACAAATCTATTCGTTCGTTGAGTCAATAAATTATAAGTGACTTCCGCGTTTCTCCTTTGAATTTACAGAAAGTATTTCGCAGAATGCAAGGTATACACTGAGAGGAAAAAAATAAAAAAATATTTGCTCGGTGAACTAATAACATATTTACTTATGCTAACATAAAGTTTCTTTTTGATATGAAAATATACATTTTTTTACATAGCTTTACGTGGGAAAGCAATTGTTTATTCTAATTAAATCGTAGAATATATATTTGCGTCACATTATTATTTTTAGCAGAAAGCATCCAATCCTCTTATAGATATCTGAAGAAATATTTAAAGAATAATGTACTCTTAATTATCTCAAAATATACCTCCCCAGATAGCACAGAGAATTCAAAAAGAATTAAAAAAGAATTCAGTCACTAATTCTGAGTTTATTTTCAGATGCAAAAAGAATTCTTCAGTTCAGTGAAAAAAATTCTTTTTGCATCTAAAAATGAACTCAGAACTGGTGACATATGACTGAATTCTTTTGAATTCTCTGTGCTATCTATGTTGGGTCTATATCTCTCGTTATTTATATAATTTAATAATTCTTGCTTCAAGGCATCTCCATGATCTCGCTGTGCGAAGTGATTTATTTAGTTAACTCGATAAACTTACGTTTCGCACATCATAACACCGCTAACGTTGGTTTCCCGAAATCTTCCTATTCCTCTACCTCCAGCGAGAACCTGCGCCTTCAGCACTATGTCCTTAGTTTTGAGATCCTTGGCTAACGTGGCTGCTTCGTCGGGCGTCTTCGCCACCCCAAAAGGCGGAGTGGGAATGCCGGCTGTCTTCAATAAAGTGTATGCGACATGTTCGTGTACCTCTAAATTTCGTATTACTTGTTTCACGACTGGCACTTTGCGCGAAAATAGCTGCACACAAGACGTGAGAAAAGTATTTCATTATACCTCACGAAAGTTAATTCCACGCAATTAATTTTTATTATACAATTACACTTCGCAAAAATAAGTTATGAAGATAAATTATGCAGAATTATATATATTTTGTATGATTAAAAGTTCCCCAGATAGCAAGATGACGTTAAGTGACATATTAATAACATCTTAATGGTGTCTCTAACATCAATAAGATGTCTTTGAAGTCATCCTACTCTATCTGGATTATAAGAACAAGTATTCCATATACGCGTGAGATAAAATTGCATTTTACTTCATTCATTTTATTCATAATTATGCTTCACAAAAATAAATTAATTATATAAAAATTCAGTGTTTTATACACGAGTGAGATGAAGTTGCATTTTAGCACAATTACACTTCGAGAATAAATTATAAAAAGATTATATTTCATATAAAAAGAATCATATTTCATGTAAAAATATAATTTTATATAAAAAAATCAATGTTTCGTGTACGTGCAACATAAAATTGCCATATTTTACCACAATTATACTTCACAAAAATAAATTATACAAAAATAAAAAAATATACAGAATCATATTTTATGTAAACTAAATCTTATATGAAAAGAAAATGTTTCGTACAGGCGTGACAAAATTGAATTTTACCTGTTTATTTATCCTTCTCGCGCATACTGCCACTAGAGACGACATCATAGAGACACGATGACAGTTAGCAATGATAACTTGTCGAATTTCTTTATAAAGGCTTTTTACACACACACGCGCACAATCACGGGCGACGCGTTACTTCCTATAAAATTATAAGGATATTTGACATTTTGTTAACAACTGGATCAGACGTATTCTCTCTTTCTAGATATTTAAATTTGCATCGTACGAAAATTTCAGCTCATTTATGTCATAGGGCTCTAAAGACACTTTGTGTGCATTCTAATGTTATATACACAACGGATGTAGCAAGCGGAATAAGCAATGAACGCAGATCACGCCCGCTTTTTGTTTTATTGTGCAGGCGATAAGAGCAACGATTCACGCAGCGTGCGCAATGATTGGTGTACTCGGACGATACTTCAATCTACTCCGCGCTTTTGTTGTGTTAAAAATATCGTGCGCGTTGCTCGAATAGATTCCTGCAATTGCGTTGCATCCAGCACTCTTTATTGAGAGAAAGAGAGAGTTGTCGCTTTGTAAAAATAATTATTCGTAACAAAGCGCGTTACATGTTAGCGCGTTAGCTCGTCAATGCAATTCTATATCGTGGACGAAAAATAAACCAGACAGTGTCCAATGTCCTCCTCTCAGAAGATCTTCTCTTCCTCTTCTTTCGCTTATAGAATTTTTTTCCAACTCACGCGCGTAAACACTACAGAATATACAAGAGTTTGATCGTTTTTTCTTAATGTTTAAGAACCAATTTTTCTCAATGGCAATTTAAACATAAATTTAAGTTCAAATTCTATTCTAATAATGTGTTTAATGTATGTTTAGAGTTTAAGTTTAAATCTAACAAGGGAATCTTATTTTATAGGATTTATATATTTATATATTTTAGGATATTTAATTTAATTTACAAGATATATTGAAAAAAGCGAAAAAAGTCTATCTTTGAAGGGTTCTTTAAATCGTTTTTCCGTCCCAAATTTCTGAATCCACCTATTTACTCGATTTATATTTATCCCATGTTTCATTAAGATTTGAATTTTTGGATTTGCGAGATTTCCTTGTAAGTTTAAACCATAGACATATATAATAGACTACTCGTTCATATGGGCTGGCTGTCCGAGGGATCGAAGGACAGAGATAGTCCAAAAGTAGCTCTCTCTCTCTCTCTCTCTCTCGCACATCACACAGAGTGGGGAGGAAGTTGGAGGGGAGTTGTCGTGGAGAAGTGTAACTGGCGGTAAGGGGAAAAAGTGAAAAAGTCAATAGCACCAGCTTGAAATTTGCAAATGCAGCACACGTAAACCATTTCTTCTGTTCTCTCCCATGCACTCCCCTGTTTTTTTCACATCCCCACTAACTGGCGTGTTAGAATGAGACACAGCTATTTTTCATATTGCTCTCTCTCTCGGGTGTTGCGGATAGCGCCTCTTACAGGACGGCGCAGTCTATTATATATGTCTATGGTTTAAACTACCCATACAGCACAAATCTTCAAAAGACACTCTAAAGATGTTCTAAGGACATTCATACATCCTAAGAACGTCCTAGAATATTCTCTGAAGATTTTGTACTATCTTTTGTACTATGGAAAATTCAGTTTTAAAAGTCCCAAGGCTGTAGTATAAAGGTTAAAACCGGTATCAGAAATACATTTTTTATACCAATATTTTTTCTACAAATACCAATATTTTATAACTGATTTCTATAAATATCGATAAAATAAAGATGTATACACACAATACCGATATCAAATCACTAGTGTTATGTCCTGGCGGGTTGCGGCCACGCTGCCGTGCTCGAACCCTAGCACGGGATCAGATCACAATTTTTCGGGCTAAACGAATCGCGTGATTCTACCCGGGGATCCGTGCGATCAAGGGTAATCGCGATGGATTTCGTGAAAGACGCATAGTATAACCACCGTAGTGTAACCTTACGGTGGGTCGGACAGTCGCAGGCTTTAATCGTAGTTTCGCGCGTATAGAAATAATGTAGATAATGACTTACCAGTGGTCGTCCACCGTGCGGTTGCTCTCGGTACCTCTGAATGGCACTCTCGTGGCTTGCAGGGACCGGCACCTCCTGGACCTCTAGATGTTGCCGACTCTGGGGAACCTCGTTCTGTATCGTGCGGCGGTGAGTTCGAATATGCGGATCACTCGTAGTTGACCGATGGGCACTAGAAAGGAATACCGCACGTCGCAGTTTCGCTTAGGAGGAAATGTGCCATGTAAATGGCTCTCGCAGACCAGTGCGCAACGCGACACACGATATGCGACGAGCGATATCCAATGAGTGTATTGGTATTCCAGAAAAGCTGTACGCTCATTGGATATCGCGCATCGTATATCGCGTGTCGCGTCGCAAATCGCGCTGGTCTGGGAGAGCCATAAGGATGTTCGAATGGGAGGGAGTAGAAATAGAATTACTACAGATAATATATATATATATATATATATATATATATATATATATATATATATATATATATA